TACGTTCTCCAAATTTTAGCATAAAACTTTTTAAAACTCAAAATTTAACGTAGTTAAAACTTACTTTTTTTTAATGAAATACCTTTTTTTGTTTCTACATCTAAGAGATTATTAAATTTTCTTTCCAAAAACATTTACTTTTAAGTGTMTACAATTAATAATTATAAAGATATTTAACTATAAACAAAAAGTAAACATTTGCACAAGAGATGGAAAAAATATTATTCAATAATCACATTTATGTTACTCTGAATTTATTAGTTTTTATTTTGACAATAAAACAATTTGACATTTAATATTTATTTTGTCTTTTACAATTTCTGGACAAATCCCAAATAAGTAATCCCTGGTGGAATTACAAAAATAAAAAATTGAGTGCTCCATTTAAAATTTTTAAAATATATAACTTTTAACAAAGTCCAATTTCTTTTTAACTTTTTGACTAAAATACGTTAAGAAAATGTTAAGTAGTGAAGTTCATACTATCCTCTTGACAGTAGTATTTTTTTCTAACTGTCCTAACTTTTATTGTAATAAATTTTGTAAAAGTATTTCGTCAAAAAAACAACTTATTTCAAAAACTAAGCAAAATCGACCAAAAAATGCCAAAAAATATATGATGTTTTCTTTAAAAAACACAAATTTGTATTGTAACTTATTTTCGGGACACGCTGTATAGTTGGAAATAATTTCAGGCGATACACTAGTTTAGTATTTATCAATTTCCTATATATTTTTTTTTAAAGTAAATAATTGATGTGATTTAATGTTGAATTTTTTTACAAAAAAGTAAGTGGGAAATTGCATTTTCTGTACTTTGTTGTTACAAGGAGAAAAACGGTAAAAGTAGAAATTTAGAATTCAGAATCACAATTTTGGAAATTGTTTCGAACTCAAAGCTCAAATTCCAAGGTTTGGGAGTGCTTTTATTATAAGTTTCAAATTTAGAATTTAAGATTTTCTGGTTTTCGAACTTAAAAAACACAACTTATCTCTTTTTTAAATTCTATACCTACAAAATTTTACTTTTCAAATTCGGAATTTCAGATTTTAATATCAAGATTCGTTTTGGAATTCTGATTTTTGTACGAAAGCAATTTTAAATGATCAACGTTCCCAAAATTTTGGCATAAAAATTAAGAATGCCAACTTTTAAAACTCAAAATTTTCGTGGGTGACGTGATTTAATGTTGAATTTTTTACGAAAAAGTAAGTGGCAAGTTTCAAAAACAGCAAAATCGACCAAAAAAAAACAAAAAATATATAAAAAAAAACTATAGCTGGAAATAATTTCAGGCGATGCACTAGTTTAGTATTTATCGATTTCCTATATTTTTTTCAAAGGTAAATAATTGAGTTTACTTGGGTCACCCTGTATATTCCCAAAAATGGTCAAAACACGACTTGAGACGAATTTTCGATAAGCACAGTTAATGTAGGTCGTGGTTAAATAATTGTCAACAAGATAATCGCTTTATCATCTTATCAGCACTTATTTTTGTAAAAAAATTTCGAAAAAAATTGCACAAATTTCCTGGATTAGTGCCCACACCCGTTTCATCGATTAATTTCCCGCTTGTTAGGCCCCCTTCGAGATGATAGTTTGTTTTGGGTGGGATAACGCGTGTTCGTTGCCAATTCCGTCAATAATGCTGATCTGTGGTGCCTGGAAAGCCCATCTCCTATTGAATTCGTGCTAATACATCACTTGACACCCTCTTCAGTGCGTATAATAAGGTCAAATTAAGTGGAGCGAGCGAAGGGCGAGGGTTGGGAGTCAAGTCATTGTGCTCCAGGGATGTTAATTTTTTCTAATCCCGACTTGTTGCTGTGTTTTGAATGGAGACAATGGAGACATAACAGTAGTTCGAGCAATCACGTATGTCGACAATAAACATATTCGACACATTAGTCGTCGAGAGGCGATATTGGGCCGTTGAACGCGCGCTTCTGCAGGATATCGTCCATTAGCGACGTCTCTCTCACATATCACCTGGTGGTGGGGTTTTGTTTTCGTTGAAACCCATGAGTGGGCTTGTGTGGATTCGTCTTGGGCGAGGGCTGTGTGCTAATTCCTCGGCCAGCAGGAAAATTCAATTCGCTGGGGACGGGGCTAATCTGACGAAAGTGTTATCGATTTGGTTATCAGAAATGTACAAACAACTTCAAATTGTTCGAATCTAAACTTCCGACTTGTGTTTTATTTAGAGTTTTCCTCCTACATAACCACCTATCAGAGATTACTTTTAATCTGATCATATTTCTAAATCATTCCAGTTATTCGATAATGTTTATTGATTGTGGGTGTGATTTATTGCGGAATTTTGCTCAAAAAAGTAAGTGGCCCAAAATTGGATTTTTTCCCATTTTGGAAATTACAATTGCATTTCGAACTCAAAACTCAAACTCGAGTGCTATTATAAGTTCAAATTTTGAATTTTAGACTTTTTAAAAACTTTATTGGATTTTAAGAATATGAAATCTGTATTTGAAAATCTGGAATTTATTTGGGTTTCCGAAATTTTGTTTAATTTCAAGTTGTGGCTTGTAATTGCAAAATGTTGATTTTAAATCTAAGTAAAGTCAAGCAAGTGAGGAAATAAAAAACCCAAATTTGCCTTTATTTTTTAGTTTTATGCCTACAAAACTCTGATTTTCAACAAGATTTGTTCTTAGAATTCTGATTTTTGTAAAGTAACTTTCAGCTACGTTCTCAAAATTTTGGTATACAAATTGAGAATTCCAACTTTTAAGACTCAAAATTTTAACGTGGTTAATGTGAATTATCGTTGAATTTTTTACAAAAAAGTAAGTTACAAGGAGAAAAACGGTAGAAGTAGAAAATAAAAATTTAGAATTCCAATTTTGAAAATTGTTTCGAACTCAAAGCTCAAATTCTAAGGTTTATAAGTGCTTTTATTATAAGTTTCAAATTTAGAATTTAAGATTTTTTACTTAATTAAAGTTTTTTATTTAAAAAACTCAACTTTTCTCTTTTTGAAATTCTATACCTACAAAATTTTACTTTTTAAATTCAAAATTTCATATTTTAATATCAAGATTCGTTTTGGAATTCTGATTTTTGTAGGAAAGCAATTTTGATCTACGTTCTCAAAATTTTGAGAATGTCAACTTTTAAGACTCAAAATTTTAACGTGGTTAATGTGATTTAACGTTGAATTTTTTACAAAACAGTAAGTAGCATTTTCTGTACTTTGTTGTTACAAAGAGAAAAACGGTAAAAGTAGAAATTTAGAATTCAGAATTCCAATTTTAGAAATTGTTTCGAACTCAAAGCTCAAATTCTAAGGTTTGTGAACGCTTTTAATGTAAGTTTCAAATTTAGAATTTAATTTTTTTTGTGCTTAATCGAAGTTTTTATTTTCGGGTTATCAACTTGGAAATCTGTATTAAACTCGAATTTTCTCTTTTTTAAGTTCTATACCTACAAAATTCTGCTTTTTAAATTCAGAATTTCAGATTTTAATTTCAAGATTCGTTCTTGAAATTCTGATTTTTGTAAAGCAATTTTGATCTACTTACTCAAAATTTTGGTATACAAATTCCAACTTTTAAAACTTAAAATTTTAACGTGGGTAATAAAGTAAGTGGCAAATTGCATTTTCTGTACTTTATTCTTACAATAAGGAGAAAACGGTAGAACTAAAAATTTCGAATTCAACATCTCAATTTTGAAAATTGTTTCGAAATCAAAGCTCAAATTCTTCAAATTTTCTCTTTTTTTAGTTATTCTATACCTACAAAATTCTGCTTTTTCTCTTATTTTTGTAAGCAATTATGATCTACGTTTGCAAAATTTTAAAAATTCCAACTTTTAAAACTCAAAATTTAACGTGGTTGATGTGATTTAATGTTCAATTTTTTACAAAAAAGTAAGTTTCAAATTGCATTTTCTCTACTTTGTTACGTATCAAAAATGTTGAGTAATTTCTAAATTTACCGGAAAAAAAACTTAAAATTACGAGTTTAATGTTTTATTTAATGAAAAAGAAGCAAATAAAGTTTCTTATTTTTTGCTTTTAGGACATAGAAATTTGTATCAAATCCGAATTTGCGCCTATTTTTAAGGTTTATACAAAACTCTGATTTTTAAAGCCACAATTTCGAATTTTAATTACAAGATTCGTTCTTGGAATTTTAGCATAAAAATTTCAACTTTTAAAACTCAAAATTTTAACTCTTATCTAAGAATTTTCATTTATTTGGAATTTGCGACGAATTTCCAAGCCCTTTATAGTTACTTTTCGGATCTGAAATCTGTATTAAGTCTTGATTTATCAAAATTGTTGAATTTTGTGTAAAATTGTGCATTTTATCCAGAATTCTTTATTTCGGAATTGCAACTTGAAATTTTGTCTAATTTAAATCTAAGAGATTTTGTGATTTCTAACATAAAAATTTTTGAAAATCAAAATTTCACCTCATTTAAGATTCGGAACTTTTAAAACACAAAGTTCTTAATTTCCGATTTTCAAACTTTGTATTGAAAAAAAATATTTTATAACTTTTTCGTTATTTTTTTAATAAGTAATAATTATTTTCTATTAATTTTAGTTGTCAAAAATGTATTATACGGAGTTCAGTAAAATAGGGCAGGTTGGGTCAAAATAATAAAATTTTATTCAGTTTTAAATTTTTTATCATCCAAAATTAAAAAACAGACGTAAAAGCCATAAACATTGTTTTCCAATTCAAATAATTCTTTTGTCATGCAAAAAATGCAAACTATTGTCGTAGGTCGCCACACAAACACTTTTTCCAAAAACCCTCCCGGGGAACCCCCCAATCCACGACCAGCGCCCTCTCATCTCATCGATCCAGCTTATTACCACACAGCCATCTCCCATCTCCGCATATGTCGTCTTTGTCAAGTACCTGTCTCACCTCTACCCCCACTCCCTCCATTGCGACCAATCCGCGTCCGCTCACCCACAGCCAGGCGACTTGATCTTTTTAAACTCACTTCGCGTTCCACGTCTTGCTCGCGAGCATCACTTTGACAGTGTTGTTGATGAGTGCGAGTTCGAATTTGATGACTTGTGACACTCAATTGGGGCAAAATCGGTGCGGATCAGTGGCGGTGTGCACATGTGATGGATTACTTTTCCCGGACCTCGAGGTAAATTTTGAGATAAGTTTTTCGAACTTTTGCGGAAAAACCATTTTGCGTAAATTCCGGGTAATCACTCGTTGCCATGGCAATTAGTCCGTACACACACTGGGGGGTTATTGGGGGAGAATTGCACACGCCTTATCTCTTATCACATTATTTCGAGGGTTGGAGAAAAAAACAAACGTGCCAAATCGGCACGTGTCGACAAAAAACAATTACGGTTTTAATTACTGCCTGGTAATTATTTTATAAATGTGTGATGTTTGAAAATGAAACTGATGAGTAAAAAGTTGTCGTGTTAATTGCGTGGAAGGTATGCGTAGACGTCAAACATTAACTTAATGATGATAATCAAACAGAATCTTAGAGGTTTTCAATTTTTTCAAAATTCTAGAAAATAAAAAATGGTCTAAAGCGAAGAAAACTATTATTGTCTTTCTTTATTGGTTCAATGCAGCTAGTATTAATATGTCCTTGTCTAACAGTAACCTGTTATGATCAAAGGGGTCTGTGATCTCGAAATGACATTAAGTGGCATCATTGAAGTTGCCAACTTAATTTCAAAGTCACAGGCTACTCTGATTAGAAATTTAATTGCACGCATGATGGGAGAAATAAGTTCCATATTTCAAGGCTTAATTTTTTCTTACTGTTAATTATTTGAATAAAATAATTGAATTTCTTATCTCAAAATCAAAAAGTGAAAAAAAATAATGACATGGATTGATTTAATTGTCTTTTTTCCGGTGTCAAATGGATCAAATAGCGTTCTTTTGTTAATTAAGTCCACTTATTGGTCGAGTAAACGTATTTCATAAACTTGATAATTATAGCATTTCTCAAAGTTTCATAAGCTCTAATTTATTATTTCACTTTTCTGAAAATTTTCCTCGAAATTCTGTAATTAGTAATTAGGAAAAAATTAAGTGATAAAAGTAGATTTTTGCATTTGATTTATGCGAGAAGCCACTTAGAAGCGGACTTTTATGTGAAGTAATGATTAAGTGATTATTGCACAAGTTTATACATATAATTAATTATAAGTAGTATTAAACTACCAATTATTGCTTTTACGTTTTCTGTGCTTCTCGAACACCTAATTTGAATATTTATTAGGCACACGTGAGAGAAATGTGGAAAATTTGTTTTTTGTAATTTTCATAATTGGCAGCTTTCGCGAATTAATTACGACGAATTATTTAAAATAATTTTCCTCATCTCGTGTCAATTATAATCTCATTGTCGTTTTTTCTTGGCGTAACCGAAGCAAGACAATTACGGATGTGTTATTTGAGGAATTAGCCCAAAGTTGGCTTTTTATCGAATTCCTGCGAAGATTAACAAACCATAACCACGCCTAATTTTGGGTTAATGTCCCAATAAACCAATCAGTGATGTCACTTCCCCCGTCGCAGGATTTGGTGAAAGTCTCGCATCTGGGGGCTCCGGGGCTGTCTGTGTGTGATATGTAGCCATGGCTACGACAGGTACAGACTCGCAGATCAATACAGCAGGTGGCGACGCCATCTTGGCCCGCCTGCTCTCCTGAGATCGCGGCCCGGGAGGCACACCCACCAGCAGGACTGCTGACCCTGCTGACGTGATTATGCGCCAACGAGAGCCACGCATTCAGCGTCGCAGGATTGTTGGTGCAGCAGGATTCATCGCGGAATTATTCATCGCTGATAAAACGGTTATCTGAGTGCAGTTGCAATCTGAATTGATTCACGATGAAAAATTCAAGAGATATTGATTCGCGAGTGGGAGAGATAACATCTTGGATTCTTGACATTCACGCGGAAATCAAGATCGATTTCCAGAAACGGTTTATATAGCAGGAATTTTACGATTTTCCCCGAAAACACGCGTCTAATCTCCAAATAGCCTTTAAAATCAAGTTGGCCACTCAATTTTGCCAAGTCAAAAGCTACTCTCATCAAAAATTGCCAAGTAAACAATTGCATGTTAAATATACCAGAGCTCATTCCATTATGTCCAATAAAATCATTAATTTATTCAAAAACATCATTTGTGTGTTGAAATAACCACAATTTTAATTACAGTTCAAGAAGAATATTAATTTTAGAATTATTTCATTGTATAGAAGAACGGTCTCCGATTTTGTATGGGTATAAACATTTTTGTACAAAAATTAATAAATTTTAATTAATTATTGCTAAAAGTACATTTCTGAACAATGTCTGGTTTTGTTAGTTTATTACAAAGTGCTCAAGTTTAAGTATTTTTATTTATTAATAAACACTTCTTATTTGAGACACCTGTATATCCGACTACATGTATAAAGTTTATTTAAAAACTCTAAATTTTGTTGATATTTTTTTATTCTCTTACCTACAGCACCAGAGTCAGATTTACTTCAAGCGCAATTTCTGTTATTTTCTCTCTCTGTTTGGTTAATAAGATTTAGTGTAAATGCATCCTTGTCTAACAATGGACTATTTTAAATGACAGCAACGCTTAGGTCGTTGTAATTGCGGTTACATATTTATAATGAAGCCAAAAAGTTTCCAAAAAACGCAAAAAAATATTTTATTTTGTAAATTGATTTAAAAATATTTTAAACATGTTAAAATTTTGTTACAAAATTTTATTTGTGCTTAAGTTTGAAAGATGTATCTATGTTTTTTATTAATAAGAGATGTTGAGTAAAAAGTCTTATTTGAGACATCCTGTATACCGACTAAATGTAGCAAATTTCTTTAAAAACTAAATTTTGTCGATAAACTTTATATTTTCTTACCTACAGCACTAAAGTCAGAATTATTTCAAGCGGAATTTCTGTTATTCTCTCTCTCTATTTGGTTAATAAGATATAGTATAAATGCATCTTTGTCTAACAGTTAACGACTTGATAAGAAACAAAAAAGTTTGTCAAAAAGCGAAAAAAATATTTAACGATTTTGTTAGTTTCATGTTTAATTGATATTTTTGACAGACAGGTAAAAATATAGTACTTTCGTGTTTCTTTTTATATAACTTTCTTATTTATTTTTAAAGTATTTTTATTTTTATGAGTAGTAGAAGATATTGGTCGATTAATTCTTATACTTGGGTCATCCTGTGCATATCTACAGGGTTGCAAATTGATTTAAAAACATTTTAAACATGTTATTTTTTTTTAGAAGAACGTTTATTCTATAATACCAATAAGTTTTTTTTTTTTAATAAAATTTGACAAGAATTCATCTTTGTCTAACAGTGGTAACATCAAAGTAGGACATGTTTCAAAAAAAAAACTGAAAAATGTTCATTTAGTTTTTGATATTTTTTCAGATATATTTTCAGTGTTTTTTTCTTTTTTGTTTTTTGCTCTTTTTAGTTATTGAATAAAATCTTCTGGTTTAGTCAGCATAAATAAAACAGCATTTTATTGTTATTTAATTATTTATTCAAACTTTAGAAGCCAAGAACGTCAGATTTACAGCAAGCAGAATTTCGTCTGTTATTTTCCCTCTTCATTTAATTAATGAAGTTTGATATGAATGCATCATTGTCAAACAGCAATAACATCAAAATGGCATACTGTTTTCAAAAAGCGGAAAAATGTTTACGATTTTAGTAAGTATTTCAAAACATGAAGTTTTTGGATATATTTTTATTGTTCTTTCTCTTTTTTTCTTTATTGTGTTTATTTTTTTAATAAAATCCTTAGGTTTAGTCAGCATAAATAAAACACTGTTTTATTATTATGTAGTTAATTACTCAAACTTTAGAAGTCCAGAATGAAAAAAGTCAGATTTACCACAAACAAATTTTCTGTTATTTTCTCTCTTCCTTTAGATAACAAAATTTGATATAAATGCATCTTTGTCTAACAGTAGTAAGAGCAAAGAAAAACGTTTTTGTTCATATGTATTTATTGTTCTTCTTTATTTTTTGTTTTTTTAAATAGAATTTTCATATTTAGTCAGCATAAAAAAACACCGTTTTATTACTCTTTCATTTTTTCCAAACTTTAGTTGTTAAGAAAAAAAGAAGTCAGATTTACCTCAATTAGAATTTCTATTACTTTCTGTTATTTTCAATGAAATTTAAATAAATAACATCAAAATAGTACATTGTTTTCAAAAAGCAGAAAAATGCTTATGATTTTAGTAAATATTTCAAAAATTGATATTTTTATTGTTGTTTCTCTTTTTTTCTTTATTATTTTTGTTTTTCTTTTAAATCTTTAGGTTTATTCAGCAGAAATTAGACATCGTTTTATTATTGTTTAGTTAATTATTCAAACTTTAGAAGTCAAGAAAGAAAGAAAGAAGTCTGAATTACCAGAAGCAAATTTTCTGTTATTTTCTGTCTTCCTTTAGATAACAGAATTTGATAAAAATGCATCTTTGTCTAACAGTAGTAAAAGCAGAGAAAAATGTTCACAATTTTAATTGTTCAAAAATAGTTTTTTTCAGATTTTTTATTCCTCAAAACAAAAGTCAGATTTATCTCAAATAGAATTTCTGTTATTTTCTCTCTTCATTTAGTCAATGAAATTTGATATGACTGCATCTTTGTCTCACAACAGTAACAGCAAAGTAGAACAATGTTTTCAGACTTTATTCAGATATTATTCTTTAGTGTTTTTCTCTTTTCTTTCGATTTTTGAATAACCGTTTTGTTATTATTTGAGGAAAAAATTTATAAACTTCGATATTAAAAAAATTCTTAACAAATTTTCGCTTATTGATATAATCTATTAAACCAACATATCATTCTGTGACCCACCCCTCCGCTCCAATAATTTGAAAGGGCGTCAAAATCCGCCTTGATGATGTGGCGTTTGTGGCAATATCAGATGCTCATTTTCGCATGGGGCTTTTCATCCCCCACAATGGGGAAGTCAATATGTTCAACAATCTGTACCAAGCCAACTATTGTACGACCATAAACCAAACAAGCTCATCTCGCATAAAGCCCGCCATTCATCACCTCGATTGGATAGGCGCCAGGGGGTGGCAGCGATAGATTGATTGCCTGCCCTCTCATTTTTATTT